GAACTGCAAGGCGCTAAATTTTTGCGCATTCTACTGAAAAACCTAAATTTCCAGTGCAATTTACTGTGGAGATTTTTTAGACGTCTAATTTAATGACTGGATGATGAGATGTTTTATTCAGTTTTAGGCCCTTAATTATTTGATTTTTCATCTTAAAAATAAATGGCCAGTGCATCGATTGCCGCTGCAAAGACGCGTTTTTTTGCATAGTTCCCCACAGGTTTTTGTCGCTAACGGCGCCGGTTTTTTTCGGCAGATACTTCTAGCTAAAAGAATTTCAGACTGGCTGCCAGAACTGTCAGGAAACATCCTCTCAAAATTCCAGTCCTGTAGCTTCTCTGGTTCCCGAGTTAACAACTTACCCGAAAAAAACTTTGCCGAGCCCGGACGTGGGATACCCGTCAACAGTTGTTCGGGCGGCCCTGAACGGTCTTCCACTCATCGACCCTCGAAGTGATTAACAACAAATTTTAGATTGAATAAAAATCGGCCACATTACACGTTCTATGATGGCCCACCATTTGCTACCGGCTTGCCGCATTACGGGCATATTCTGGCTGGAACAATCAAAGATGTCGTTACACGTTGGGCTCATCAGAGTGGTCGTCATGTGGTACGCCGATTTGGTTGGGATACACACGGCTTGCCGGTGGTTTGTGTTTTTGTTTTTTTTTTCTGCGATATGATTCCTGAATTAGAGAGGAAAGAAGGGGCCACGGAAGGCCAGCTATTTTTGTAGCATACAAGTAATATTAAGAATTTAAATGGGGCAGGAATAGAGCGAACTATGTATTGATGGATGTATAAATGTAGCTGGTGTAGGAAAAGTAAGTAAGAAAGTAAGTAACTAGGAAAGAATTAAGACGTTTCGGTCCATTAAGTCATAAACGTAATTTTGCTGCCGTAGGTAGTCCAATGAATAACAAATGAAATAGAAGACTGTAAAAACTGAAAAATTTGGAGGCAAACACAGTTTTACAGTTTACAAATATACTGCTAGCATGCATACTTGTAGTGATAACATGGAGATTTCCTATCTTTCACTATGATTAAGCATATCCACGTGTTAATCATCAAAGACTTAAGTCGATTCTAGGCCTAGCAGCTAACATTTTCTCTTTTTTTTCAACGAAAATGATTTACGGAGGGAGTTTGGGCCGTCGCTTTGATGCATGCTATCTTACATTCCCCTAAATTTCAGGAATTCGAAGTGGATAAACGACTGGGAGTGAAAGGTCCTCAAGATGTCCTGAAAATGGGCATTGCTAAATACAACGAGGAATGCCGAAAAATTGTTATGCGTTATTCTGCGGAATGGGAAGTTAGTAACTTAGACTGGTGCTTTTCCAAATTTTGTTTGGTGCAAGAATTTTTCAAAAATTCTATATTTCTTTTCCAGGACCTAAGCCTTAGTCCGAAAAAAAAGGGAAAAAAATCCTTAGAATCTCCCCATTTTCTCTTCTGGTCAAGTTGGTATTCCACGTTTCACTTCTGTTCAATAGAATTGGTAAAAGTAGAATTAAACAGCGCCAATATCACAATCGTTGCTGTATTATTATCGAATGAAATCTCGTATTTTGAAGAAGGCTAAACGTTCTGCTTCTTTTCTTGTGAACAACTGCGTACCTTACTCATCATACGCCCTAATGACTGGTCGAAACAAATATAACTCTTCGTAATCACATGAAACTAAATTCTTGGGTTCCATCTCAAACTGCTTGGTTTTTACTTTTTTGGGATGCGATTTCCTTTGCTTTTTTTCGCCAAACTTGTTTTTTTCATTTGCCTTTTTTTTTCGCCAAACTTCAGTAACTCTTGTGTATTTCTCTGCTATAAACATAGTGTTATTAGAGAAAATTAGCGCTGTATTTCATCGTTGATAGAATATCCTTCTCTAGTCCATTAGAAGTTTAAAGCACGGTGGTGAAGACTTTTCTGAAAAAAATTTTTTTTTGATTTTCCTTCATATTTTGTTAAAAATAAAGCTGGATTATTTGAAAATTTCAAGTGGAAACGACGATCTTCTCTAAAAAATTATGATATTAATTTAATTTCAGGCTACGGTTGAACGCATGGGACGTTGGATCGATTTTAAAAATGATTACAAGACGCTGTATCCGTGGTTTATGGAAAGTGTTTGGTGGGCTTTCAGTCAGTTATTCAAAAAAGGGCTTGTCTACAGAGGAGTTAAGGTATTACTTTTGGTTTTGTGTGAAATTCTTATACAAACTTTTCAAAATAATTGAATAGAGGTGAATTACAGAGACAAAATTTACTGTTTTTGCAAGAAATTTCGGTTGTTATGTGTGATTTTGCCTTTTTATTTCTCTGGAGAACGCTAGGATGACGTTTTCGACCTTATTACTGCTAGTTATTGTTCAGGTAATGCCTTTCTCAACAGCCTGCTCTACACCGTTGTCGAATTTCGAAGCAGGACAGAATTACAAGGATGTCGTAGACCCTGCAGGTAATTTGTGTTTTTTAGCGAATTTTTAGATTTTGCTCGGGCCTGCCAGAAGCTCGACCGGTGCGATATTGCACTTTTCGTGAATGGAGCCTTTTCTCAAAAATTGTTCTGGACCGGCAAGGAATCGAACCACTCCTTTTCACGTTTGGACACAGTGTTTTACCACTACACCACCGGGCCTTATGCTCCAGTTTAGCCTGGCAGCACATCTACTGTGTATCTGCTTTTCAAGACAAGATACGCCTTCTCTTTTTTCTTTGTGGCGGATTCTTGGCTAGCTTTTCGCGGGTTTTCCGCGAAAAATACTTTGACTAATAACATCTCGCGAAGTTCCATAATTTAAGTGCTTAGTAAGCTTGAATGATGCTTAAAAATCACGTAGCAGCAAAAGTAACCTCAAAGAAGGCAAATGACCACTGGGTGGCCTCGAAGTGATAACTCATATACATCGAACAGGCAGTGGATACTGACCGAAAATGCGTACCTCAAAAGCAGAGGACTTGGCATAACTATTTTCGGCATGCGGGAACATACCAGTGGCACCATTAACATGGGATACCTATAGCGATTGCTTGAGATGTTTTGATTTTGTTAATTTTCGTTCACTGGGAAGTTGGGATTGCTTGAGACCTTTGAACTTTGATCAGAGATAATGATAGCTTTACCACTGAAGTAAAAAAAAATCCTGTGGAAAAATCAGTTTTGCCACGGTGGGCTACAAGTTTGAAATTGACGATGGCTGTCACCTACCCATTGCGCCAAGCAATCTTCTTTCTTTTGTTGTTTGCTTTTCGTATAATCAGATCCTCCTCGCCATCAGTTTACTTCTAAGCAGTCCTTGAAAAAGGGAGCCATCGAGAACCTTGTCATTGAGTTTTGCTGATGCATACTGCCCTTGAAATACTTCCCACCCAGTGCCGATTCAGCCCCCACATTTCCAAATTCCATCCGCCCACAGGGCCCAAACGGCCCGTGGGGTTTTTTCATACCACATAGCTGCACAGTTAACTTCCCGAACTTCGAGGTGCTTCCGCCTCTCATAAAGAGTGAATATGAGGTAGATGGG